TAATAAAATTTGTTTAAAAAATGTTATTTCCTGGTTTTTGCCTATGTAAATCCTGTGTATATTTATGGGACTACTAAATGAGGTTGCTGACCCATGGCCTGGGATCTGGAATCTGACCTAACTAGTGTTTTGGTATCATTGTGTGTGAGTGTTTGTTTATGCATGTCTGTCCAAATGTCCTGTAGATACTATTTACCAGTATCTACTATCCTAAAGATGATATATAGCTTTCAACCTAAAATCATGAGACATAAAAAGCAAGGAAAATAACCCACTTCAAGAGACAATCAGAGATCTTAACTAACATATGATCTAGGTATTGAAATTATCAGATAGAGAATTTTTGAAAACTGTGATAATCCAGGATAATCTCCCTGTCTTAAGGTCAACTGAACAGGAACCTTAATTCCTCTTTGTCATGTAACCTAATATATTCATAGGTTGCAGGTATTAGGGTATAGACATTTTTGGTGGTAGGGCATTATTCTGTTTACCACACAAAACTACATGTAATTAGAATCCCCAAAGTAGAAGTGAGAGAGAATGGGGCCAAAGAGATACTTGAAGAGATATTGAATGGCTAGGAATTTTCCAAAAAAAATAAAAGATATCAAACCATAGATCCAAGAAGTTCAGAGTGCCCTAACCAGGTGTACACACACACACACACACACACACACACACACACACACTTCTAGACACTTCAAACTGCTAAAAACCAAAGAGAGAAAATCCTGAAGGACGTTAGAGAAAGTAGAATACATGCAGAACAACAAAGGTAAGATTTAAGGCAGACATATTATCAGAAACTACAAAATCCAGAAGACAATAAAGTGACTTCTGTCAGGTACTGGAGAAAAACCCCACTCAGCTCAGAAAATTATATCCAGCAAACACATCTTTCAAAAGTGAAGGAGAAAGAGAGACATTTTCAGACAAACTCTGAGAGAATTAATTACTAGCAGACCTGCACTACAAGAAATGTTAAGAGAAGTTTTTCAGGCATGAGGAACATGATACCAGGCCGAAACTTGGATATACACAAAGAAATGAAGATCTCCCAAAGTGATAAAAGTGAAGATAAATATAAAAATCTTCTTTCTTTTATTTTAAATTACTCTAATCAGCTGTTGAAAATGAAAATTTCTGCATTGTACTTTGGGTTTATAGTTTATATAAAAGTAAAGTATGACAATGGAAGTGCAAGATTCTTACACTACATGTGAAGCACTATAATAGAAATTTGAAAGTAAACTGTAATTAAAGATGTAAATAGTAGGGGTGCGTGGGTGGCTCAGTCGTTAAGCGTCTGTCTTCAGCTCAGATATGATCCCAGGGCCCTGGGATCAAGCCTCACATTGGGCTTCCTGCTCAGTGGGGAGCCTGCGTCTCCCTCTCCCACTGCCCCTGTTTGTGTTCCTGCTCTCGCTATCTCTCTCAAATAAATAAAATCTTTTAAAAAAAAAAAAAGATGTAAATAGTAAACACAGGGAAACTGCTACAAACATTTTGAGAAGATGTGTAAATAATAAGACAATAGTGGAAATAGAGTGGAATTCTAAAAAATATTCAATCCAAAATCAGGATGATAAAGAGGAAAAAAGGAACAAAAAATGGATGGGACAAATAGGAAACAAATGGCAAGATGGCAGATTTTACTCCAACCATATCAATATTTACACTAAATGTAAATGATCTAAACACAAATTAAAAGAGATTGTCAGATCAGTTAAAGAAGGAAGGGCCAATTCTTTGCTGTCTATAGGAAAGCCACTTTAAGTAAAAATACAGGGTAAAAATCATTCCTATTATTATCTGGCATGTTAATTAAAGTCATTTATTAATATTCTTTTTACATAATTCTTTTAACCTTAAGAGATTCTGTTCTTGGTTATTTTTTTGGGGGGGGTGGTGCAAACTGAAGCAAAGAAGAAATCTAAAATTCCATTCTACACAAAGTAGTTGTCTGTTCTGTTTCTTCTATTATGGAATAGTATGACCTAATTTGCTTAGACTTTGCTCTTATATTACATGGTGTTTGCTGAGAGTAAACATTCCTCTGTAGTCTTTCTAACCCTTGCTCATTCACTTTGGCCTCTCTTTTGGCAGTCTGTTGTCTTAGGGTTTTTCTTATAATTTAACATTTGCCTCCAGTGTTCATTTGCTTTTTTCAAGATTCAATTTTTAGAATGTTCTGGGTGTTAAGAATGTTAGCTTTCTGGAAAAGCATGACCATGAATTTTTTCGCTGCTGTAAGTCTCTGGGGAAGCTGATTGTTTTTAAAGAGTTACGTGTTTTCCCAGGAGGATTCCCAAAGGCATACTCCTTTCCAAGGCACTTTTGGAATATTTCATTTTGGTTATTAGTCCCTTTAACACAGGATTGTTACTCTCAAATATGCAAAGCCTGTGAACCACTTAAAAAGGACAGCCACAGTCAAATTTTTTAGAGGCAAAATGTAGTTGGAAAAAAATTTCCTGGTTATTTCCCCAAGCACTATGTGTGAGTAGTAGTTAATTGACATGTCTATGTCTTCAACATCAATTATTTTTAAGTTGGAAGTATACGGTATAAAGAGAAATCTTTATTTGTATTTTAGATTGGGAGGAATGATAGAGTAACAGTAGTCCCAGGGAAGGTAGGTTTGTCCCAATGCCATCACCCTCTACCTCTTCTTTCCCTCTTGGTTGTGTGTGTTGTGAGTGTGTACCGTGTTGCTGTGCCCACAGCTTGGCCACTGAATATTGTCATGGAATCCAGTATTAGAATGTATAATGAGTATATATAGGGAGAAATAATGGGTACAGAACTTGACTTATTTCCAAGGGGCATTAGGTGATTTAGAACATGATCTCTAAAAAAGTATCTCAATGTTGAATATTGTGTTACTTAAAATATATAGTGAGTTATCCTTAGGATGCCTTATAAAGCTAAGAAGAATCTGAAGTGCTAATAAGGGGCACCTGAGTGGCTCAGATGGTTAAGTGTCTGCCTTTGGCTCTAGTCATGATCTCCGGATCCTAGGATTGAGCCCCACATTGGGCCCCCTGCTCAGCGGAAGCCTCTCCTTCTACTGCTCCCCCTGCTTGTGCTCTCTTGCTCTCTCTGTCAAATACATAAAATCTTAAGAAAAATAAAGTGCTAATAAGATGAAATGACCAAATATGTAATTATTTTACTTTGTTGTATATTTGTGTGCATGAATGTGTATGTGTCTGCTCATGTGCTGGTAAGTGTGAGTGTGTGTGTGTGTAAGTGTGTGTGAGTATATATACACATACTTGTTTTCTTATGTGTGGTCAATTAGAGATTGTGTGTGGATGCTCCTCTCCTGATATTATGGTCTAATTCAGGTTTTTAGAACCGAAGAAGTCAGTTTTTAAGTGAGGAGAGAGGTGGTTTAGAAAATGGGAAGAACTCAGGCTTCTTCAGCTTCAGGTTCTTAATAGCAAAAGGGATTAGGCTCCAGATGCCACCTACCGTTTTATAAATAAGTGGAGATAAAATGTGACTATAGCAGTCTCAGGTTTTTCAATAATAACTTCTGTATGAAAGTGTGAAGATACAAATAAAATGTATGATTAAAAAAAACAATAAAATAGTATGCCTGGCACAACTGGGAGGGGGAGGGAAAGAAAGGAGAATAGAGTATGAGAAATAATAGAAATTAGCTTCAGTTAAGTTTCAGGAATCTACTGTGTGCTCGAGAGACCCTGGCCCACAGCCTGTCCTCTCCTTTGCAATGAATTGTCTTGTCTGTTTGTTACTCACAATGTTTTATTCAGCATAATCTACCAAAGTAAGAATATTGACAGTGATAAGAGAAAAAGAAAATCCTAAAGGTCTTGATTTAGAATAAGGAAGGATTATTATGGGAAGAC